AAAGCAACATTAGAGTTAAGCCTAGAAAGAGTTCAGTTATATTTAAATGTACAAGAGCTTTTTATTTCGAAATATACAAAAATAAATGAAATCCAAAACTCCCTGCTACAATTACCGAGTTTATTATTATATTTAAAATCATTTGAAAATAGTTAATTTAAAAATATTATTTTCTTTAAATCAAGCTGAAAAATATTCAATTAATATAAATTTATCTGGTAGTTGATTAACTTTACAATTAAATCTACATATTTATCTCTTTTTTTTAATTGTATAAAAGTGTTTTGCTCAAAATTCTAATTTAGGCTATTTGTGTAAGTGCAGTTACTTTTCTCATTTTTTTTTTGTAGTATTTTCAGCATTTTTTATTTTAAAGTAATCTTTAACTGCATTTTCATTCTTACTTTTTCTTAAAGTTTTAATAGGCATGATTTAAAAATAAAATGCTGCGATTTTTCAGTTTCTTTTTGTGTCCTATTTTTAAAAGAGTAATTTTTTCTATACTGGATAAGTTAAATGACGTATGTTCAAAATAGTTTAAAAATTCAGATCAGTTATTTAAATATGCGTTGAAGTTCTGCGGTATTATGACTTTTTATTCAAAAGAATTATTACGTTTCTCCTATTATCAAACATTTATTAGAAAACAGCTTGAATTGCAAATACTTAATGAATTATTTTTCAGATTGTTGAACAAACTAACGATAAAAAAAATTCTTGTAAAAAAAAAAATAATTTAAAATTAGATTTTGAATTATGAACAACTATACTGTACAATTGTATATAAACCAAAAATAATTCCATAAGACTTAACTTAAACATTTAATTACATAAAAAGAACACTATATGAAAAAATTGTTTTGTGAAACAACTATTTGGTTGATCTAGAAAAATTGGAATTTTACGAAAGAAAATAAATTATTAATAAATAAAGTAATATTTCCCAAAACGCACTTAAATTTTCAAAGATTGCGACCTTGGTATATGGAACTCTCTCAAGCGACTAAACCACCAATCAGAATTAAGGAAACTTAATCTTAAAATTAATCATAAAAATAGGTATAAAAGAAGAATGATAATTTCAAATTTTGAGTTAAACGAACGTTTGACTTCCTTTTACGAACACTTTATTCATAATAAAGTTTCTTTCCTCATCTTATAATCATGACAAGAATTTCTTACACTTTCAATATGAAAAAAGAACAATAAAACACCATTACTGCTGTATCTTAGTCCACTGACCTTGACCAGTACATAACCGTTCGTCAGATATATTTTACTGAAATATATATATATATATATATTTCCTTCTCAGAAATGTGAAATTGCAAACGTTATGTTATGGTTGAAGGTTTCCTTTTAAACACCTTATCTCAATGAATGGATTCGAATAATTTTGGCATACAATTTTTTCGCCTCTTTTTCCGCCAAAGTTCTCCCATCTGAGAGAGTTCTGTCTCCAAGAATGAAGCAGCAGACAGAAAGGAAACGCGAAACTTACTTAACATAATCTTGCAAGCCATTGTTTTCTTCTTTTTTTTCTATTCGAATATCGGAAACTGTGTATCATCTGAAACTCCGCAGCACGTAAAGTGGACATGCTTCAAAAGACTGGCTTTAAATCTTCGGCTTTTCGACTTCCGTCTTTACGCGAAAATCTTGATGCCAAAACGATGGTTATTTTAGGGATTGACTACCTCATTTTTCTTCATGAAACACGAAACCAGAGCGTAACTTTCTCGGCTTGGAAGAGGTAGGGTTATTATGTAAAAAGTTGATCGAGTGACCTTGTGAATTGAAGTTATAAAATATAAGGTGACCATAATAAAATTCAAACTGCACAGTAAAAACAACCAAAAAAAATGTGTCACTTGAGTTAAAGGCAGCATAAACAGAATGAACTATAGTGTATGAGAAAATTTGTAAATCAGTAAACAGAAAAATATCCATTATGGCATAGGTGCTTATTTTCATTACTATAAGAATCTATTACTGTAAGAAAGACTATAACTATGGTATTATTACTGTAAAAAAACTATTACTTAAAGAAAGATTATTACGATACAACTTGAGTAAATAGATATATATGTATGGGGAAAAATGAGAAAATGTATGAGAAATATATGTATGAGAAAAAAAATATATGATCAAAATTACTAGAATATAAGATAAAATTTATCGTGTTTCTGTGTCTATGGGAACAACAAAAAGCTGATTTTACCGAAGCGCTTTGGTAATGACTTTGGTAAAATTAACAATAAAATATGATTTTATAACATGTGATAAAATTTAGTAAATGTGGTATGATTTGATAATATCATCACAATATATCTTAGAGCACAGCATAAAAAAAACATTTATTCCTTTAAATTTATTTTTCCGTACAGTTCTTTTACTAAATGTATGGTAATAAGAACTATTATTTTGAGAAACGGAATTACAGGTAAACGGTTGCCATACGAATGGAAAATTACCAAAAAAATTGTTTAAATACCGTCTATTTAGGTTTTTATAATCGGAATAATGGTTATTTTTATCAGAAATTTCATTACCATGCAGTACGGGAATTTTACCGGATTTTTTTTTCTCCGTATGCTATTACGAAGAGAAACTATTTCTATACAAAAGACCGACAAGTTAAGATTTTCCCATCAATAAAATCTTAATAAGAAATTTTAAATTTGACTAAAAAATTTTTTTCTAAGAGTTCTTGATTAGTTTTAACTATAAAAGTTATTCATATTCCTGATAAGTCGTTAAAGTATGTGGCAAACGTAATTACGTCAAAATATGAGAAATCCGAGAATTACTTCTTCTAATTTAAATATTACTTCTTTTAAATATTACTTCCTTTAAATATTACTTCTTTTAAATATTGCTTCTTTTAAATTAGGAAAATGCGAAAACTCGTTAGAAATTTGAAAATATGTTTGAAATTTAATTTGAAAATAAATTTAGCATTTAAAAATACTGTGTCCATATGATGTATTATAAAAATATAATTTTTTTGATTTACACTAAATTTTTTTTCTTCAAAACTTTTACCGAAGAAGGCTTTTACTTTTAAAAATATTCAAATACTTCGGATTAAAAACAAGTCATGAGATATATCCTAACAAACTCATTGATGCAAAAGTGCTCGATTTCGTAGAAACACCAATAAATAAACAGAAAGTAAAAAAAAAATAAAAGAAAAAGTAATTCGTTTAAAATTTTTACTACAAAAAAAAACGATTTCTTTTTTTTTTTTGCTTCTAAAAACAACATCTCTGTTTTGTTCTATTTTAAATTCTTAAAATTTTAAGGTTAAACTTTCAACAACAACAAAAAAAACCATTTCCCTACTCTAGGCCAAACAACTACACAATAATGAATGTTGCGTCCACTTACACAATAATGAATATTGCGTCCCATTATTTATCACATGTAAGTTTTCGAACGCTAATTCAAAAACTAGCTAAGGAATGCATTTTAAACTTATTTCTTTCTATCAATCAGATTCCTTTTACTTTCTCTAAGTAAATAATTATCTCTAAAATCAGATTAAACATTGGAGATAATCTTCTTATGTTCATGTCACTATCTTATGAATTCATTCTTACATAAATCTCTTATAAAAACTTGTTTTCACTTTGTTCTTCCTAAGCCTCTGCTGCTTTCTTATGAAAGTTTTTTTTTTCCGATGAGAAAAAAAGTAATTTGAAATAAAAATTAAAATATTTAGTTTCATACCTCTTAAAATCTAAGAACTGGTGTGAATATTGAATAAAATTATACTGTATTTAAAATGAGTGCTTAACATTAACATTTGGGTACAATCATCAATATTTATAATCTGAATAAATTGATGCACTAAATATATATGTATTTCAGAGGTCGTCGATTCTTTCGATTTTAAATTGCTTAAGAAAAAAAACTTAAGATTGTTTTAAAATATACATTATTTTAAAAAGAAATGGGCATGTTGCAACAGTGTATGATACACTTCCGTTAGTAAGATACCAGATAAAAATCCCTTTCAGGATCCTGCACCAAAGCGGTTGCTAAATTTTGTGGAAAATATCACATTAACAAATTTTTTTATAAAAATTATCTCTTGTTTATAACTAATTCCCTGCCTTCTGCATAATTTTGTTATTTTCATTTTTTTTCACGTCGTTTTTTATGCATTCCAATTTATGAATGCGAATTTAACTTAATAAAAGTAAAAACCAAACTTGGGTCAAATATTCGAGCAGAAAAAAATTTTGACAAAATTACCGCCCTGCATGATAATGACATTTTTGGTTTTAAAAAATGGTTCTGATTTATTAAATCAAAATTTAAAGTATTGAAATTCTGATTTTCAAAGTAATTGCTCTTATAACTCCACATTTCGTAAAAAATACAGAACTGTAAAATAAATTTAACTGAATAAAACCATTCAAACTCATGATAAAATTACCTAATTTTACCACATTTACCACATGATCTTACCACATTTACCAAATAAATTTAGCGGGCATTATAAAACCATTTTTATTGTTATCAAATGTTATTAATGATTTTACCAAAATCATTACCAAAATCGTTTCGGTAAAAATTTCTGACCTATTTGGCGAACCAGAAAACACGATAAAATTAAGCACACTTTGGTAGTCTCAACCACAATTTTATTCTCAATGTTTTTATTTGCGACAACTTTTCAATTTAGCTATTTTTATCCTGATGGAATCGCACCCAATATATCTTATGCTTTTTTTATTTATTAGAGTTTAACTTTTCAAAAAAATTAAAACATTGAAAGCTATTTTTAGCTTAAAAGCTGCTAATTATTTATTAGTACAATTCTGAAATTCCAAGCAGAAGTTACATCTTAGCAATTAATAAATGCTTGACTTCTAAATTTAAGGATGCTTAAATATAAAGTTTTAGCTTGGCATAACATTAGACTTGAAATTATTTTAATTTATCCATAACATTTTTATTTATTATTTACTTATGTTGTTTTGTTTTTTCAGCCGTTGTCTTCAGCAACAGCAACAACAACAACAGCAATTGTCTAAAACACAAACCATGTCGAACGTATACCACAGCAACGGAGATGACTGCGCCATTAATGAACTCCTCGAAGGACGGATGGACTTGGACGTCATTCTGCCGGATGGCAGACAAGTCCGGCTCACTGTCGAGAGAAGGTAAAATCAAGAAACAAAGTCTGATAAATTACTACATTTTACTTCATTTAAAAACAAACTGAATTTCAGAATACGTAATTTACTTTCTCCATTCAACTCTGGGAACAAATTTTTTGTTGCATTTACACAAATACATGATCATGTCTAATTCAAGTGTGGGAATTTCAAATCTGATATTAGTTTAGCTCCGAAGGTTGCAAATTTTTTAATTGCATTTTTGGTCAATTTTTGTAGAAATGTATAAGTTTAAAAACGTTATATATTAATTATTAAATATATAATAATATTATTATATATTATTATAATATTAAATATACGGGTTGCGTAAATGTTGCGATAAACTTTTAGGAGAATTAGGGCACAGCGACAGGATTAAAATTGCATAGGAATCTGTGCCCGGAAACGTCGTCGTACGTGACCAGGAGCGCTCTCCTATTATGACCTGTTTATAAGCACACGAAAAAAAAAATTTAACGAGTAAGTGCCCCTAACGGCATATGATGATTTTTTTCGCGCATAGGTTCTTTGCAATTTTAATCGTGATGATGAACTCCCCAAAAAGTTTGTCGACTCTCAGCTATATGTAACGTTTTTAAGCTTGAGCATTTCGACAAAAAATAGACCAAAGTTATCATTTAAAAAAAACTGTAGTTTGGAGAGGAAAACCAATCTCATATTTGAAATCAGCGATACGAAAGTATTTAAGATCTGCTGAAAAAATCTCATGCAACAGAAAGCAAGAAAAAAAATGTGTAATTGATCAAAACTTTTATGCTCGGCAATATATCTTTTATTATGCCGAGAGAATTTCTTAGTTTCTCGATATATGCAGTGAAACTAACGTGAATATTGAGAAATAACAATGGTATAGATAACTTTAAATGATTTTCTAAACACCTGTTACCCATCCAGTAGAAAAAGTCGAATTTCAATTCATATGTGCTAATATTCTCTCAGAAAATACCATACAGTCTCAAAAATGTTCCTGTGTGTCCCTTTTCATTGACAAAAAAAAAAAGGTTTCTGTAATGTGTTTCTGTGAATTTTTCTATAAGAAGTCAGAAAATTTTAAATAGTGCCGGTAGAAATTTATTTCAGAAAAGTGATATAATTTTTAGAAACGCTTTTCAAAAAGCTATATTTGCTACTTATCTGCAAATTAATTTCAATTTTTGATGTTGTATGGATTCGAATTCCAATGAGACTTGCTTTATGTTCATTAAATACTTCTGTTTTTTTACTGTTGTACAATTTATAAATATAACTTACTTCTTGGATGCAATAATAAAACATAATTTGGTATAAATATCAATACTATTGGGTATTGGGGTACCTAGTAAAAAATAAGCTTAAAAAATCAAATATATAAAGCAATAAATGAAAAAATAAAATTTAATTTGTCAAATTATTTCAAACTTGACAATAAGATATTTTGACAGTGCTTCTTAATTGATAGTTAACTGGACATAACATGTATTTGTCAAAAAATAAATGCATGTTATGATCATAATATCTCAAGTTATGAGACAAATAGCAATGTTCTTTAGTGTGATGAATTTTGCCTTATAGTACTATAAAATACCACTTTCGCCATCATTCTAAAATTTTACTGTCAGACTTCGGCAACGAAATTCCCGTGTTACAAAAAACAGAGGACGCCGTTATATGCAGATGACTTATTTATTTTTATTTTTTGATTTATTATTGTCAATTCATTGTTCTCAAATAGTGCATGTTTTTGTTATTATAAATTTTTAAATAAAGCTTATGCACTGTAAAAAATTCCGGATCAAATTATGGTAAAAAGTTTCACCGTAAAATATTTCGGAACAAAACATATTTAACTGTAATTTTTATACAGTGATATTTGCTATGAAATCACTGACTCCCTAAAGATAAATAAATATCCCCGTCAGGATTACGGTATAAAATTTTAAGATAAAAATAGATTTAACGTTAAAATGGATTTTACGGTTGCTGCCAGTACCTATTACCATAACTTGATCCGGAATTTTTTACACTGTGGATGGTGATAATAAATGTGCATTTGATTTATTACGTGCGTTTGTACACTACATTTAGTATCCACTTTGTGCTTTAGTCCAAATTGTAATACTAATTATTTATTTTTGAATTCTTGTTTCCCATGCTCATTTCGTTGATATAAAAGATGTTAAATTGCCAAAGAAAGGAATGGAAATCTAAAACTCCTTAGCTGAATCATTATGCCAATAAGCAACCAATGTGTAAATATGTTTTGGAACTAATAAGTTTTGAAACATATTAAAAATAATCAAGGAAACTTAAATGTTGATAAATACCTTCACAAAAAATTTTATTGCTATATAATTTGTTAATAAGCTATTTATAGTTTAATTGCATTGATCAATTTTCCTTTAAAAGGACTCCCATGATGGACTTGCTAGTGCAGGCAGCTTCTGCCACGAAAATTAGTCCCGTTGGTCATGTCATACATGTGTTCGGGGACAGTGGAAAGGGCAGCAACACCCTACAGTACAAGCCTAGTACACCGATAGGGTCCTTGGACACGAACACCATCTGTATAGTACCGAAGAAGGATGTCCAAGAACCTACAATAAAGAGAGCACCCCGAATCGCCAACAGGCCTTTTGAAGTGAGATTATTTATTGTATTTTTCTGTTACATTTAGGGTCAGTGTGCCTGAATGAGATACGATTTCATATAAGTTTGTCGCATTTAGTAAAACTTGACCTTTTATAAGATTTTTTTTCACCGAAAATGGTTGAAGTATTGCGATTTCAGTCTTAAACAAATTTTTCTTGCTGATATTAAATTATTATCTGCAACTTAAACAAAGATATTTCGCTGTCAAATTTGGGGCATTTTCGTTGCATTTAAGGTAACCAGCCCTTAAATTTATCGTCAATCACAATTCCAAAAGCTTTCCGACTTGTGTACTCAATTTTTAATTGCTTCTATCTGCATAGTAACAATACAAGTTACAATCGTTTCTGAATGCTTTGAACAAATTACAACTTTCTGACTGTCTACTTTGCTTAAATTTTAAATAGATTTCAAGGACTGATACCAATACAAGTTACAGTCTTGTCCCAACTAGTTTGTAAGCACATACATAAATTGTACATACATGCATATGTTGATTGGAAACACAATGTATCTGGAAGTGTTACGACGATGGACGTACATACGTAAATTTTTTATACCTGTATGCATGTATATCTTATGTACATACAATGTATTTATGTACGCAAGTAAAAACAATGGACTTTAGATACGTATATACAACGTACACGTATGTATGTATACTTAGTACGTATGTATACTTAGTAAATATGTAAGTACGCTCATACAATATACCATTGTATGAATGTACGCATGTAAATGTAATTTATGTACTTGCCGACATATGTGTGTTTATAATGTACATGCATGTACGTATGCATGTACAATGCATGTACATATGTGCATTTGTTATGTACATTTATAAATTGTATTTATTTACATAAATTGTATGTAAATATGCACTGTAGTTATATTCACATAATTGTTACAAACATGTACATACATATATTGTACGTAAAGAAACTTTGCATGCAGTTACATTGTATGTACTATGTTGCTTCCATATATTGTATGTCCTAGTCTTATCGTAATGGGATTTGTACTATAATCGTATATTATATTATTTGTAATTGCTAGTTTATAATTATTTGCGTAATTATTTGTTATTACGTAATTATTTGTTATTATACATTTGATAGCTTGCAATCATGATTACATGTGATCACCATAACATGTAATCTTATATTTTGATCACATGTAACCATAAATATCACCAATCTTTTCATATTCTGACGACATTTAATCATCCCTACCTTTAATCAGATATCATGGTTACTTATAATCGTCATTACTTGTAGTTGCAGTTTTAAGTAATTGATTACACAGTAGTAATTATATGTAAACAGTTACAGCTGTTATCGATTGCTGTAATCAACACGTAATTGTAGAATGACTGCAGAAAACGACGTCGCATTTAAGGACTTCAAACTGTTGCAATTAGTGTCACTCTAAGAATCAGGCTCAAAATGCGACAGTTATTTTACAACTCCTCTAAATCTAATAAAAGGGGTATTTTCCAATTTATTCTTGACGTAGATTAACAAGATGCTCCAGGCAGTGTTGTGGACCAGGTTGTATCACCTGTGACCACTATTCGGGGATAGTGTTCACCGTTTCGGGGGGAAATTTCATGTTGGGGGGAGCATGAGAGTAAGTCATGAAATTGTAACGAGAAATTGCACGAAAGAAAAAGGTCTTAAGTGCTTGGGAATAGATCTGGATATGCTCCAGAGATGCGAAAATTTCATTGGAAAACATTTACAGATGATTCATGAATTAGGATTTAAAGTAACTGAATATTGTCGCATTTAGGCACACTGACCTTATATCTGCAAAATAAAGGTTTGTGAATTCATACTCTGTCCCCGTTGAGTTTTAAAAATGTCAGAATAAATTTAATCTTTCATCAAATCCATATGTAGCCGAAATTTACATCAACAGAAATTAGAGATTCCACAAAAAAATATATACTTTTAGAAAAAAATGGAATAAAATAATGTTATGATAAAATTTTAATCATAAAATGAGTGAACTATAAGAAGAAAATTTCAAATCAATACAACTTGAACTTCACAGCATTTTAGAGTCAGTGGACATTCACAGCATTAAGCACTTACAATTATTTCGTTTTAATAAAGCAACATTTATTTTGATTACATTAACGAATAGGTGTAGAAATATGTAAAAATTGTTAATGCCGAAAATTTTTATGAAATATCATGCTAAAAAAATCCGAATTGTCAAAATTATCCAATTACACAGTTTTTTATTACAGGAAAATTTTACAAAAATTAAATGAATTTCATATGCTTAAATTTAGACCAAAAACCACCTTTTCAACAGAATAATATATCACTGATTTGTTGTGTCAAAACATTTAAACACATGATTATAATAATTGCTAATCGATCCTGACACCATTTTCAGCCGACATTCCGAGTCCAAGTTCATCTGCCGAGAAATCAGCTGACTGTAGTACGAGTTTCTCCGAGAGTGAAGATATCTGAACTGAGGAATATGGTCTGTCAAGAAAAAGGCTTGGAAACTAACAGGTACCAACTGGTGAGGCCTAGTGACCCAGCTCAGGTGCTGTCCGGAGACTTGACCCTTGCCGAATATGGTTCCACGGAAATTACTCTTTTGTCAAACGCATGTGAGCCTCTTCTTTTTTAATTTCTCTCTAATTGCCTCATTCAATGAGTTCCGTCTATCGCTTTCTAATAATTACACTGAAAAAAAATGTGGTAAAATGATTGTAGAGTATGGTGATGATATTTTGGTAAAAATGTAATTCTAGTTAGTTAAACCAAATTATACATCAAGTGAACCATTCATTAGGTACTCTTTCCGTTCATGTGGTAACGGTTTACCGGAAACTCTGGTTTTTAAAATTATTGTTCATGTTCTTATTATCAAACACTTTGTAAAAAACACAAAACTGAAAAGTAAATTTAACTGAATAAATAGTTTTTATGCCAGGTTTTAAAGTATAGTGATAAAATTACCCAATTTTACCACATTTACCAGATTTTATAACCTGTCATAAAATCATATTTTATTGTTAATTTTATCAAATATCAAAGCACCTCGGTAAAAATTACCGAGCTTTTTGATGTTCCTATTGAGTAGTGGTTTACAATTTATCAATCTTATGTATTCTCAAATTAATATTTATCAGATATTTCGATTTTTTCATAAACCAGTTTTGTGATCTGATAATAATGTTACTAACAAGAAATGATCTAATTTTCATCGTTGAAGTAAATCCAGAAAAGTGTATTAAATTAAAATTCATTCTGTATTTACTTAGTATTTCACACTGTATTCACATTTATTCTTACAGTATAAAATAATAGTTTTTATGCACCACTTTTTATTATGAATACCCTGAAAACCCTTTGTAAGACCCTGTTTGTAGTCAAGAAAGTATACACGTTAAATAGATTTTAAAAAATGAAGGTCGTAAGCACAGAAGTTAAAATATCAAATAATATCTTCATGATTCGAATTCTACACACCAGAACTATATTTCTTTCTAGTAATTTAAATTTTAATTTTTATTGATCTGTAGAGAATTTTAAAAAATTAATTTTTATCTACTCATGATGTTACTGTTTTGTTTTTTTTTAATTTCTTGATATAGAAATATTATATTTTCCTTTGATAACTATTTGTATTTCAGGTTTCAATGAAATTTTACTATATGATTATACTTTTTTTTTTTGTACAAGAATTATGGAAATAGTACTTAAGGATGTAGTTTCTTAATATTAAATTTTAGACAGCTTTTCTTTCGTGTGTTAAAAGTGAACTAATAACATTTTATTGCAACACTTTATAGATCAAAAAACATCTTTTTCAAAAATAAAATTAGAAAAAACATATTAAAATTGCGGCAAGAGGCTGAGGCAGAAAAGGTCAATATATTTTTATTTTTGCTTTGATTCGACAATTTGTTTGACAGATTTAGATTTAGGCTTAAATAATGAAACCTCTTATAATTGATTTTTTAATATTACTATTCAAATTGATAAATTAATTAAAAATCACCCCTGCTGCTGTTACACTGCTTTTTCTCCAACCATTTCTGAATCGATTAGTTTTCAAATCGATTTTTTCAAACCTTACAGTTTAGAACTGACAGCCATTTTTTTATTTCCACTCTTCCATTGTACATGTAAACTGAAGTGCCATTGAATAAATAACAAACAATGCTGTGAAAGCTGTGTAGCACTATGCTTAATTTTCGCACACGTAATGGCGCTGTAGTGATTGCCATGAGGTGATTGTATATACAGCTAGTGCTGTGATTGTTGTTAATCCATTTGTGGTAATTTGAGTTTTTGGCATCACTACCTACATACAATACGGCTAAACAAAACACAACAAGCTCGTTTAAGGATAATTATTTCTTAGCCCCTTTGTACAATTGCTTGATATTTGCAGAGCCTGACTAAGGTAGGGGAAGTTGCCCCGGGCTTCAGAGGGGACCCCCAAATCGAATTTAAAAAAAAATTTTAATGTCTTTCTTTAATGAACTTTATTTAAACAAAATATCAGTACAGTGTCACTTTTATGTCAGCTTCTTCGTTAATTTATCGTATGAACGCAATCTATATTTCGAGAATCCATCGCTTTCTAGGGCGGAACTCAGCTAAATTTTCGCAATTGCGATGGACAAATTTGCCAATCCAAAGCCTATATTTTTACATACCGCAAAATGCGATAGTTTTACAAAAAATACTGGCTTTTGATTGCCTTAATTGAGCCATCGTAATTGCGAGAGTTTAGCTGAATTCCGCCCTAATGTCAGCAAGGACATTAATTTTTCGCAGTTAGATGACAAAGTTAAGAATCAAAAAACTGCCCTCGGCATGATGAACATAGAATTGTCAAAGAAAATCAATAAAATGGACAGAACTACATCATGTGGGGGGGACTTTATAGCTATTTTAGATTCTAGTCAATTTTCTTGCTATTTATAGAGAGGTGAAAAATTTAAATACCTCCATTACATTTCGGTTCTTCATTACTGAAGTAGTGAGGCAAGGGGGGCCCCTGGTTATCCGAACATGCATCCTCATGAACTGTCGACCTAATATTCTGACGAATTCTGGAAATCGAATAGCCCATTGCGTGGAGCGCCTACTATTTGTCCATGATTGAAAGCGCCTAGCTCTAATGTTTTGCTCCTAATGGCCTTTAAATTAACTGATTAATAAGCTCAAGCTAATGATCAAGCTCATTGAAAAAAGATTAATGGGAATTTTTTTAAGAAAGCCGTAAAAAATTCCTATTCACAGACGACGCTTAATTCATATGTATCACTGACGGTAATATGTACTACTTGTATTATGGTAATTGGCGAATTGCTTCTGATAAGAATTCTACAACAGGTTTTCTGCAGTTACAGAAAATATTTTTTCCAGTGGTATTAATATCCAGTGTATTAATATTTTAAGGAATTATAAATAAAAGAAATTTTTTCCACCACTACTTATAAATACTTCAACAGTAAATTTAAAGTCAGATAGAGAAATGGTCAGGTTCCAAAATCCTTATAAAGTTCGAATGCATATTTTTTTCTTAAAATTCGGCTTTAGTTGGCTGCCACTGACAAATATGTATAAACTCAAATATTGAAGGGTTATATAATAAGTACCATATATACTTATATAGGTATAAAATATTATATTGATATATTTGGTGATTTTTAAAACTGAACCAAGCAATTTTAATACCTATACTTTGGAATTGAGTGTTTAATTTAAGGGGAATTTTAACTATCATGAATCGGCCGTGAGCAATAGCATCATGCCAAGAGATGTTAAATACATTCTATCTTTATTCAAAGGTATGAATTACAAACAACGAACTTCGCTTACTTCAATTACATAAGGCCACCGAAGATATCAATATATAACATTAAATTAAAAAATTGAAATTATTTTAGCTATATTAATTGAAAAACTTAGTGAAATAAACGGGTTAGTGACATTTTCAGAACAAAAGAAAAGTTGCATCTGAACTATTTTATTACCAATTTTTAGAAAGTGGGACAAATATTTCTTTTTTATTTATTTACCACGACCTAATTTGAAATAAAAATCATGCAAGCATACTGAAAACTGATGTAATTAGTTATGTTAAAATTTAAGTGAAAGCAAAAACAGTTCTGTTACATTAAACATACCCGTATTTATACAACCACTTTTTTTTTAATCTCATCAATTCCGATTCATTAAATATCACTTATCTGGTTCTTCCAAGTTCTTTAATTGTGTCAGCATATGATTTTTCAGTTTAATTTCATGATTTCGTAATGTTTCTTAACACTGATTTATTGATTTCTTATTTATTTTTAAATATTCCCGTGTGAAGAACGGGTATTGAGCTAACATTTAATAAAAACAACTTTTTTATTTTCTTTTAGTTTATGAATAAGTATATACGTAGTTGCAATCAGAGTACTTTGTAAGCGTTAGCAATAAGTACTCCGATTATATAATTTGTAATGTTTTCTGTTTTAAAACGTATAAACTAATTCGATTTCTTTCGTTTGATAGCCATTGAATCAAATATTTGCAATTCCACTTCTCACATCATGTCATACTCCAAAAGAGGAGAAGAACAGAAAAAGAAAACTGGAATTCTTAGACTTCTGGCAGAGGACGCTCATAAGAAGGTAATAATAACAACAACAAAAAGAGTTGAAATTAATATTTAACCTCTTCATTACCTCTGTCCCATATGTGGACCTTTGCTTCTTAGCTTCTAAAAATACACTACAGAAACTTTGTAATCATACCTTAACTGAAATATTCGAGGATGGGGATTCCGCAATAGGTGCAGAACATGCAAGTTTTATTTTGGGTAGAATTTCACATAAACAGAAGTAATTTTCGGAAAATGGCGCTGAATCCACGCACTCGAAACTGCAACGAATTTCAAATATAATACAATTTAGTTATTATGAAAATAATTTTGTTCTTTTGATTTAGTAGTTCTGTGATCAGTATGAAACTTTTAAATGTATCTACTTAATATTTAAAAATAATACATTCGTGAATATGATGGTCCACGTATATGTTACTACCTTAGAACGTATGGCGAAATTTATGACAGCGTAGTAGTTAAATCTCATAGAATTATGAGTGTTCAATTTCATATCTATTAATTTTATATCTACTGCTTTATTAAGGTACATATATATATTTCGTAACTTTAATTTTTTATGTTTTTTTTCTTCATAATTTTGATATTTTACCCCCAAGAATGAATTTTTTTATAGTTAATGTTAGATTCTTTTCAACACTTATTTATTTTGCGTGGTTTGCATAATTAAAATAGTTTTGAAACTGAGATTTCATGCAGTAATGAATTGCTAAGCATTGGTATTGCATTTAGTATTGCATCTCATTGCAAAAAAACTTCGTATTTTTCTTTTAATAAAATTCTTAATTGTTAATACATCATTGTTCTTAAATAGACCATAATATAACATTATACGCATCTTCGTTCCAACTTTAGTTTCAATTTAACATTTGAAATATTTACATTATTTTTCTTAGTTAAAACCTGAGGTCCACGTATGCGTACCTAAAATTGTTAGCCCCCTGGCAGTATAATTCATATTTAGTTTATCTTATTATGACTTATGGTAGTAAAATAAAAATTCGGAATTGTGAAATATTTTTTGCTTTATTCCTTTATGCTTCAGTAGTAAAGAGGATATTAGCTTTTAATTTTCGATTTTTCCCTAATCTTATTTGATTTTTGAATTGAATCTAGCAAAGTTTTTGGTTTTCCATAATACAAAAATCAATGTTTAAATGCCTGGTAGTAAATAAAGTTGTATTTTGAAAATCAAAAACACTGTTTTGCTCATCACGTTCGGGTAAAGAAACACTAAAACTGACATTAATAACAGGATAGAAATTGTTCTGCATTCTAAAAACGTTCTTCAAAATTTCGCTTCGTTTATAAATCAATGCCAAAGAAAGCTGCTAAGATAAAGAAAAAAATCAGAAAGTTTGGGTTGACCAGTTGTCATTATTATAAACAAAAAACTTTTTAAGTACATGTTCTGGCTCATCAGATAACTTGCAACTGTAAAACTAAGTCTTTAAAAATGAACTATATTAATAAAACTCCTTAAAGAACATTAATATAAGAAAAATTAGAAAATTCATTAACATTCAGTCATAATTATTCAGTCATAAGAATCTTTGATGGGAAAATAATGAGTCCCTTCATCTATTCTTCTCATAATTAGAAATATCCCCATTCTTTTACATATTTCAAAAAAATTAACGAAGTTTTAAATTCATCATCGATATAAATTCAGCTTCGTAACAAGCAGAAAGGCGAATCGTTAGTAGATATACAGCAACTGAAAGAATTTTTTTTTAAATTTAGAGTACTATTGAAACTGTGCATTTTAATTTTCCCCGCTCTTAAAAACAAATAGATGCATGCGACGCAAATGTACTCTGCCTAATTATAAATAAAGGAATCATTATCACTTCCATTGGCTTTCATTAGTTACGAAATAGTTACGAAATTCTGAATAGTCAATTAATTAATAATGCACAATACTATACTAAATACCATTACCTAGATGTGGATTAACTCCAATACAATAAGTAATTAACAGACATGATTTTACTACTTATTAAAAATGCGTATTGCATGCTGAAATCCTTTGTAATTAATAAACTGTTTGTTCTTTTAACATGTGTTTATTTTCGACGAAACAAATAATAAAAAAGAGGAAAACAATATGGCCATTGTAAACGGACAACAGATGGCTCAGAAAGATTCCGCCTTTGATTTCCACATTGCGTTTTGTGTCATTGATATCAATCACAAGACAGTGTTGGGAAAATATGACAATGCTCATCATAATCAACTATTTTTTTTTCAATTCTAGAATTTTTTCATGCATGAAAAATCTAACAAACATTTCACGTGCTTAAAACGATATCGCTAAATATAATAGTTAATTAATCAATTCTTCATTCGTCAATGCAATTAATTTTTAATTATGAAGTATTTTTAAGTCGGAATTAATACTTTAAATGTATAATACTGTTTAATTGGACCACGATGAACTACTGGTTAAGGAACTGTGCTGCCATACGAACCATAATTTTATTCCTAGATGGATATTGCAAAATATATGGATAAAATACACTGTAAAAACTGTGGTGCAATAACTATCCGAATTTGCTGTTGGGAAAAATTCTAAAAAATGGGCGCAATTTCAGGTTAATATCAAATGGAGCGTTTTTACACATTTTGAAAGGTAAAGTTAAATCTCAACTCCAAAAAATGAGAAATAGTAATTTATTTACTTGGCACTAGAGCTGCACCATGGGCTATTAGCAACGGTATGGGAAATGTCACTGAGAATGATCTGGAGATATGCCATCACACTTTTGAACCTCTATAGAGGGGATGGTTCTCCTACTTTACTAGCCCTACAACTTGTGTGCGAAGTTGAGAGCCTTATCGTAGAACAGTTTAAAAAACATCCTCGAAAAGTCGGGAGTTCGGTTCCTTCGCAGTCTGATTCAAGTGGACGCCCACCCGCTCACTGACGGCAGACAATGAGGCTTGACATCGGTTTTCTACTGGAAACTATGTCTTTAATAAGCAACGGAAATTTGAAGAGCCTTGCCTGGATGGCAAAAATTATTGGTAGCAACCTTTGCACTGCTTTGAAAGAAGAAGAAACATATCGAGAATCTACACTTAATCAATGTTACCAAGTTTTTTTTTTTNTTTGCGAGAATCTACACTTAATCAATGCTACCAATTTTTTTTTTTTTGTAATTATAACTTTCCTATTACTTCAGGGCTTGAACTACTGGCCAAGAAAAGCTTACCTAATTTATATTTATAAATTTAGAATTTTTAATCTTGTCACATTATTTATTTAATTTGTCTCGATTTAGAAAACGGAAATTATATGCAATGAAAATGTATTCTGTCATTAAACAAATAGTTTTAGAACTATGCTATTAATTTGCCCTCTCGGTGTTGTATTTATAATTAAAAATTTTCCTTTCCTTTAATATATTCCAGCACGACTTTTTTTTATCTTTATCACGTTTATCATGTTTACTGTTTTACTCGAAATTTTTGAGGAAACTTTTTATAAAACCAAATATGTGTCTCTTAAAATTTTTCATTTTTAAAAGAAGTTTGATAAATACGTTTTAATTATTTTCAAAAAAGAGGAGGAAGAGGAGGAAAGAAAGAAAAGTTTTTTTTTGGAAACAAAAACAAATCAATACAATCATATAAACAAATCAAATTTACAAAATTTTTAATTTCAAAACATTATGAATTTAAGGCTCCTATGTTTTCGTTTGCCTCGCGTCCAAATGAAATCAAAACAATGAATTTGTATCTGAAATACCTTCAATGGATATTCGTCTTGTGCTTCCAATCAAGGTCACTCTATACTCATTCATCCAACCATGAAGAGGAGTTTTCTTTCTTACTGAAAAATGACACGATGACTTCGATACGAGGTTAATCTTTATATCGATAATTTTACAACAGGTTTCCTAGAAATGAAAACTGCGCAGTTAATACCACCGTTATATTTCCACTGCTCTGAAAACTGCAGGAAGTTGTGGGTGTTTCATTAGTGGACATTAAGGACAACAACATTCTAGTTTACTTTTTAGTAAAAAATTTAACGTAATGTTTGAATAGTTATCGCATCCATCAAGAATATACGTAACGGTTGTATATCATTTAGGTGATAATTTAAAAATGTAATTAAAAGATTCGTAAAAAAAAAAACTCTGAAGGTTCCACATAACCTTAAATCTTCTTCAGAAATTCGAGGAATTCGATTTTTTTTCTATTATTATTAAATATTTTATCAATATGGTATCAAATTTATATATTTTTTGATTTTTTTCATGACCTTAAATGACATGAACTATAAAAATTAGTACTACACTGTAAAAAAAATTCTGGATCAAATTACGGTAAAAAGTACCCGCACTCGGAGTGCGGGTACTTTTTACCGTAAAATCCATTTTTTACTGGAATACGTTATGGAACAAAAATCAGATATACCGTAATTTTTACAGTAGCAATTACCGTACAATCACTGAATCATTCTAATTAAAAAAATTTTGCTATGAAAACTGTGATATAATATTTTACGGTAAAAATGGATTTGACGGATGATGCACCCAAACTGCCGGTACTTCATACCGGAATTTGATCCGGAATTTTTCGCTGTGGATCGCAAAATATACACATTTATTATTCTTAATTCGTTACGTTTAGAAACGTATGTATATGACTAGGACGAACAAAGAATGTTCTAATAAGCACGATTAAGCACTATTACAGGATCGACATAGAGTACTTTAATATCACTAAAGGACGGACACATATTTAAAGACTCATCAGCTGTTGTGACAGATTGTTCTAAAGATGTGTATTGTATTATATTCTAAACATAAACAATCAGTACGTAATGTTTGCTCGTAGCATTAATGCTTGTACAGATAAATTACTACAAAGAAATGTTACGTGGATGAAATGTTTTGAGGTATTCTACATTTTATTTATTAAGTTTAAAAACAACCTTAGTGAACTGATTTTAGTCTTAAATTCTTCCCTGTATTGCTTGCAATATTATTATAAGATTAAATTAATTAGCTTACAAAAAGAAAGGAAAAAACACCAAATTAGTTTATTTTTCTTACACAAATACAAAATGAATAAAAGAAATGGCCAACTTTAATTTACAATAAAACCTAACACCTGAAATAAAAAAATACCGAAATTTTGTTGCTAAAACCTGCAAGACAAGACAACGAATTCAACTGTTTTACTTGAATTCGACGTCATTGCACGTTAAAGTTGGGAAATCATTGTCCTTTCCCCTCTACTTTTTAGTATACGATAATGGTTTGTAAGAAAGTATTTGCCTACTTTGCATTGCTTTGCTATATATTTTTTATGAAAAAGTTAAACTAATAACATTAGGTCGCTTATTTCTTCCTGGGTTGAATAAAAACGCATTTCCTGACTTCAAATCTAGTTGTTAAGAAGAAACTATACTGTGGGAGAAACAATTCTGTAGCACCAGTACTTTAAAATGTAAATTACTTGAAAAGAATGAGTTCTTAAACCAAAATGTAAACCATAAAGCTTCAAAAGCTTAAGTGTCTTTTTCAAAATATCAAAATGCAGGACTGCATGCTGAGGAATTAATCCTACCATAATTTGCTCTTTTTCTGATATTTTGTGAAATGTCTTGAACCTTTGAAGTTTCATGGTTTATTTGAACTAACCCTATCATTAGAGGGCTCCCACATTAAATCTAGCCAGAAACACAACTAATTTATATCTATTTTTTATGACAATGCATTATGTAATCATAACTATGTGATAACTATGTGAAAATATACAAAATTTCTTTAATAAATGCACATTTTATTTCTAATGACAATACTTGTTAAGTTTAGTCACAATTAGCTTCTGGTACTACTTATTGCCTTAAACGGGGTTTGAAGACAATGTTTCTTATCATTATGTATATATATATA